ACTCCTCCACTGGTGTGAGTGGATGGTTTGCAGTTTGTCTGAGGCCCTTACGCCTCGACTGACATCTGCAAATTGTTCCTTAATCAGTCTTAAGGAATTCAAGAAGCGGGGTAATCTTTGAATATGCTACCATATTATTCTCGCACCGTGCAGCGCGAGCGAGAGATGTGTCGAAGCTGGCTGCTTCGTCTTTGAGGGCCTAAAAAGCAATGACGACCTGTTCCTCAGCTACAGTCTTCTGCAAATAGACGTATGTATTCACATTCACGTCCCAGTTATCGAAATTTTCTTCCTTCTTCCCACTATAGGGTTCAGGAAACTTGATCTTCACGGACTCTCTACGTGGGCGTACTTCTTCCTCCTTTAGGACGGCCAGCTTTGCGCCCTCAATGGCGCATGTGCATAACTTCTCTGTACCCTCTATTCTTGCTTGCATTTTTGCACCTACATGCAGCATCATCTCGCGTGCAAAGTCCTTGAAACCCAAGCGAATGGAGTGTAAGGCGATGTCCTGGGCTCTAGCAAGTTGATGTTGCTCGTCCCAGGCTTTAGCTAGAAGTTCTATATTTTAATATCAAATTTACGCTGTATGTCCACCTGTGCTTGGATATGCTCCCTCTGCTCCTTGATCGCCTCCAACTCCTTTGCCATCTCGTTTGCCTCATCCATCCTCCTCTTCTTCTCCCTGGTGAGACACAACTTCCATTGTTATTTCTTCTCCTCCTCTATTGTTTGACGTCTCAATGGATCCTCTTCTGCCTCCAATTCCTTCACTACCGCTTCCTACTCCCGAGGAACATACAACATGGCTTCTTCTTCTTCCCCCAGGGATAAGTTCGCCACCCACTCGTAAACCTTCTTCTCTAACCACGACTCCTCCCTCTTCGTGCCACTGGATTCCCCTTTTTCCCTAGCGCTCCTGATGATCAGGGGATCCTCCTTTTCTTCTTCTCTCTCTTCCTCTTCTACTGCTTTCATTTTCTCTTCCTCCTCCTGCATCAATCTTTCCATCTCCTCCTCCAACTTCTTCCTCTTCGCCGCCTGCTCCTCCTGTAGGGTGAACTTTTTGGCCTGTCTTATCAACTCCTTCTTGGCATCCTTCTCTTTTCTCTCTCTAAATACAGCGGCGGCTTGCTCTTCCTTAGCCTTTGTGTAAGGGGTGGTACTCTTTCCACTACGTAGGTCAACCATGCTGAAAGGTGCACAACCAAGATTCAGTTCCACTCCTCACCACTTAGACTCACACCCCTGACTGACTTAACTTAAGACTGACTCTACTAAGGACCACTGAATCTTGGTAAGATCCTGTCAACTATGGTCTCTAGCCTAGACCTAAAGCTAAGGTTGTCGCTACAGGACTTCCTGCTGATCAGGAGGCAGTTAAGGAGATCCCCCGTAACTCCTCAGGAATTCTTTAACGTCGCAAACAGGACGATGCGATCAACAAGTCCTCTCAAGATGTAGACAGCTCGTTGTGCAGCCCACAGCTCGGATTTTGGGCCTACCGTGCCACACTGAGCAGCCCGCCGGTCTGTACCGGTCCTTGGGAGGGTTCGTGTCCTCCGGGTCAGTCAACTCGTCCGACACAGCCTTTAGCCCTACTCAGCCCGTGTGGGTTTGGTCAACAAAGCTCTATGACCGCATACACACAGAGTTCCTATCACCTGGAAAGAAGAGACTCAATGCAGAAAGAAGAGACGCACAGACTCAGCAAGTACCATGGGGTGAGTGCACATCCATAGGGCGAGGGGATAGGCTGAAGGCTTGGCGAGAATATACCAACTCCAGCTTGGTCAATTTCGTGGTCAACAGCTCCGGTCAATGCTGGTCAACGCTTGGTCAACGCCTTGGTCAATGCCAGTCAACTCTCTGGTGAACTCCCCGGTCAAAGTCTTGGTCAACCCTGGATTCGGCCTTGGTTGCCGACCCCTTTCTTCCTCACCAACCTTCTTTATCCTCCTCCTTTTTCCTTCCTCCTTTCTCCTTTTTCTCGCTTCACCCTGGCTATGGCTTCCTTCACTTTCGTTGTTGCTCCCTTCTCCTTCATCTCTCCTCCCTTCTCCTTCGCGTCACCTTTCTCTTTCTTGGTAACTCTGTGTCCGAGCTC